TACCAAATCTGGTTTAAAAGCAACCTTATCCTTATCCACATTTCTGGCCTGTACCCCAGTTCCATATGAATAAATAAATCTTTAAAAGTGGAAAATGGAAAAAAAAACCAAAATGTACAGAAATAGGTATCAGTTTGGGTGAATTTTGGTAGTCCAATAGATTCTTTACAGCTGTTAAAATTATGTTGCACGTAAAACATTTTGAAAAGCACCCCTGTGAAAGGACCTCCCTGGTGGTGCATCGGGTTAAAGCACAGCACTAGGAAGCTGGCCGCAGCTGCTTCAGCACGAATTCAATCCCCAGCCAGGGAGCTGACCCACATGGCACAATAGACCTCAGTCCTTTCCTGTCTCGCTGCTGCTCCCCTCAGCAGTGTATTTCAGCCAATCTGCCTGTTTTGCTCCCCACTCTGTCTCTGGTGAAGGCTCTCACCCCCTGTACCTCTGGCCGGTATCCCAATTCTGTATGCGTGGATAAATCTTAAAAACAAACAAAAAAACAGCACTCCTATGACTCTTCTGTTCTGATGCAAGCAGTTCACTGAGGATGTTAGTCTTAGGTATTGAGTGTGTCTTCATTAGAATTTTTACTGTTTCAAGGGTATGAATCACAGAGAACTCTGGATCAGTTGCAGGATGCAGTTAAGAAAGTTGCCCAGGACCCTCCCTGATGGCACAGTGGGTTAAAGCACAGCACTAAGAAGCTTAAACCACTTCCACATGAGTTCGATTCCCGCCTGCCCTGGAGGAGATCCACATGGTGCGGCAGACCTCTCCTGATCCGCCCGCTGCTCCCCTCAGCAGTGTACTTCATTGATCTGCCTGTTCTGCTCCCCACTCTGCCCCTGGTGAATCCTCTCACTCTCGCATCTCTGACCTGTACCCCGGTTCTATATGAATAAATAAATAAATCTTTAAAAAAAAAAAAAGTTGCCCGAATTTTGATCCCTTGAACCAACTGTGGTCAACCATCTGGTCGACTGGCACTCATCACCCACCACTCTGTGAAGGTCCAGTCGGATGACCAGGGCTAGAAAGTGAAATACGGCATCCCAAAGTCTCCGTGCTAGGATTCTGGGTTTCACAACTGAACTTTGAAAGGTGGAAGTAAAGGCCATCTTCCTGTTTTCTGCTGCCAAAGCTGTGGAGTCAACTTGAATCTTTTCTCTCTCACACCTCATGCCTATGAGCAGGTCAGAGTACTCTGTGAAGTAAGTCTCAACACCTTCCCCTCCTCCCATATAATCCCACCTTGATCCAAGCCACTACCCCGTTGGCTGGGTGTATGTGTAACATCCAAATTAGCGCTTCTACCCTTGCCTCAACTCAGCAGCTAAAGGGAGTCTTGTAAAACCCAACAACTAACGGCTTCACTTAGAATAACCCAAGCCCTTACCATGGCAGACAGCTCCTGAGAGCCGGCCCTCTCCACCTCCAGACCCCCTCCCCAGCACCAGTCAGCCTCCGGGTCTCCTGATTCCAGCTGTTCCCTCTGCCCAGCTGTCCCTACCCTTACTGTTCCCATTGGTTCACTTCCTCAAATAACTCTCTTAGTGAGGTAGAGCCTGCTGTGAGGTTTCCCCACCAGACTCCCCATATTACTGCTCTTTAAACTCCCGAGCATTTGTACCTCCTCACATACTATGCAACTTAATGTCTACCGTCTTTCTCCCACTGGATACCTATCTATTTTGTCCCTGTTGTATGCTACTGTAGCGCCATGTAGCAGCTGCTGAGGGGTTGCATGGTCCTATCTTTCACTCTGGGGCTCCCCAGACAGAGAACATGAGGATTCTGGACTCCTAGACTGCAGCTATGGCAATATGTTCTGAAACAATGGCTCCAACCTGATTCCCCACCTTCCTGATTGTGGTGGAGGCTAACCCCCCGAAGGATATTCTTTGGTGTTCTGATTCCTGGAGTCCAACCTATGGTTCATTTCTCCAGTTTTCCTGTAGGTCTATAAATACCTTTTAAATTTCTCTCTCTCTCTTTTTTTCACATTTTAAAAGGGCAGGTTTATTATAAGGAAAAGGATAAAGAAAAGGTGAGGTACTTGCATAGTCAGAGGCAGAAGAACTGCACTTCCTTGTATAAAACTTTTCTGTTTAGAATACCTAGAATGACTGGTTTCTATTTTTCCACTGAACCCTGAAAAATATACAAGATAAGTCAGGTCAATAATGAACAAGACTGCATTTCCTCTGACTAGTTCTTAAATGAATCAAATAGAGCAACGTCCAGCCTCTTCTTCAGCTTTTGGGGAGCTGGATCAGTGACTGTTCCAATGAGAGAAAACAAAAGAAATAATCCAGAAGAGCTGAGCCAGAAGGTGGCCATGCAGAGGGGTTACTAAAGTCAGCATCCTATTTTCTGTTTTCTCAGAAGTGCCCCTGAGGCCCAGTGCATCCCACTCCCTCCCCTTTACCAGTCAAACTCTGGCAGCTGAACCAGTCTAAGAGGAGCTGTTACCACCATTCTCTTGCAGGCTACAGCCACCTTAACATGTGAGATGCCCTATGAGACTCCAGCTATAGGGTGGGGCGAGAGCCCAGGAGGAATGGGCGAGGAAGCCACTACACCTAAGAAATACACCTGTTATCCTTTACAGAGCCATGTGCTGACTGAACCCTTTAATCAGACCATGTAGGTGGGTCTGAGAAGATTAAAGGACACTGTCTTTGGTTCTTTCCACTAGGTCATATGTATCTAAATGTTCATTAATATGGAGACATGAACTATATGTTAAAATGAGTTAACACACATGGCCCTCCTTGGTGGCGCAGCGGGTTAAAGCACAGCACTGAGAATCTAAAGCCACGTTCGCATAAGTTCGATCCCCGCCTGCCCCGGAGGTGACCACATGGCGCAGTAGACCTCTCCTGACCTGCCTGCTGCTTCCCTCAGTAGTGTACTTCATCGATCTGCCTGTTCTGTTCCCACTGTGTCTCTGATGAAGCCTCTCAACGCCTCTGAGCCTCTGGCCTCTACCCCAGTTCTGTATGCACAAATAAATAAATCTTAAAAAAAAGTTAACACACATGATAAAGCAGCACACTAATACCTTTACATATAATAAAGTTCTGTATGCACTGAAATGTTAACATTGGTTTATTTGAAATAAATGGTGACTGAACACTTAAAAAATTCCACCTAGATATACTTTATGACTTTACTACAATACAAAGAATTTTTTGAACACGGTAGCAAATATTATGGAGGTTTGCCAGTCCTGTGTCTTCCTAATGAAAACTTCTCTTACAGGCAAAAGGATGCGAGTGCCAGAGAACAAGTTGGTCCAACCATCCTTTCCTTTTTGCCAGCACCTGGTCCGAAGATGGGGATGTGGCCCTGCTATACCAAAGCCTCAGGGACAGGCTTCGGGGGGCCTCTGCAGGCTACGCCACCCAACAAGAGCAGAACAAACAGTTCCTTTACTGCTGTCTGCTTTGCACTCTGCTTTGGCTTTGGACATTGTCATTCGAAGAGCTGATGCTAAAAGCTGTAGCAGTCACTTCACAACACAGAGGATGGCAGAGTAAATAGATCCAAGAAAATCGTGATGACATTTTGACTGCCACCAAACCTGGAATCATTTATCTCCAGTGTTGTTGTTATAAGAGATACTTAAATATCCTTATTTCTTAAGTCACTGTCATCCAAATGATCTTTAACTTGTTCTGATCAACCTTCTACAACCTTCTCCTGCTTGGTGCTGGTGAAAGGCCTGGTACCAAATCTGGTTTAAAAGCAACCTTATCCTTATTAAAAAGCTAGGATTTTTTTTTTAAAATTATCTAATTTTTACAGAAAGTTAGGAGGCTAACTTTCCCCAAAGTTGCTAAGGGATTATATTCAAACCTAATGCTGACTCTAAAAGCCCACTCAGTCACTTAATCATAGCGCTAAAAATGAGCAAGCCTATAGTTCTTTCAGATTCTTAACAAAATGCACACACACAGATGCAGGTAGTAATAAATTTACATCAATTTGCATTCATATATGCTTTTCACTCCCAGTATTGCATTTGTTGGGTGGTAGAAATGTATACCTCATAAATTCAGCAAAAAAAGCAGACTTACCCTATCATTATCTTACACTTTCACTGATGGCATAAAAACCTTTGTCCCAGGCACAGAGACAGGTAGGTCATGGGGATTTTGATGCAGGGTCCCAAGACACTTGAAATGGTAAGTGAGCATGAAAGTGGCTCATGCTCTCCTCTTCTTAGATGAGTAAGCCCTGAAGACTGCAAAATACCAAACATCGAAGGAGGCAGGGCCTTTGAGTTAGCCCAAAAAAAGCAGGAGAGTATTTTTGAATGAGACAGAAAAGGAAAATAGGATTACCATGGAGACCCACTAGCAGGATGCCGGTTAAAAGGAGAAGCAAGCACTGAAGTCCACATGACAAAAAACACAAGGGTTGGCCATCAAAGCTGTCTTCGGCTAAACTGGACTCCACAGCACAAGGGTCCGAGGGACCCTTTTTGTTCCATCCTCCAGAAGGAGAACACTATCCAACAGAGTTCACATGAATTGTCAGCTACAGAGGGGGCAATGTGGTGATTAAATACCTAATTCTCCTCACAGCTGCTGGCTGGGCAGCTTCAGCCACAGTGAACAGAAAACACACTCAACAAACAGGAAGATGAGGCTAAGAGAAGGTGTAACCACCCTGTCTCTGGGAGCCACTACTCTGGGGGCAGTTTTCCTGAGCCTGCAGGGTTCATCCCTACACTACGCTGGTTGAAATCCCAGCAGAGGGAGCTGTGACATGGCCATCAAAGGACAGACACTATAGCTGGCAGCTTCCCTAACTGCTAAGACACCCCCTAAGCCCTGCGAACAAGCCCTACAGTCAAGCACTGAAGAGAAGGTGTTCCAGGAACCACACAATGGAAGGATCCAGAGTTGAAGATCAGGTGAAAGGAAGGTTACAAGCTTATAAAGGGAAAGGACAGTGTGGCCAGCAAGGAAGGGTTCCAGCTTAGTGGGCAGCCCCAGAACCTAGCACAGGAGACAAGGTAGGCCTCTTAAATCCAAAGCTTTTGTAGTAGGAGGTCATCTGACGAGTGTCAAAGAAGGCAGTCATTATTCAATAAACTCCTACTTTCTACCTCACTGAGGGCTGTTTCTCAGCAGAATTTGATGTGTGATGCAAATGCTCAAGGTGTGGCCAGAGGTTTGAGAAATATTAAAATGGAAGTTAGAAGAATACCGAGTAATTACTGCAGGAGAAAGGATGGAGGGAGTAAGTCTTGGGGCTGCTGTATCACCCAGAAGCATTTGTTGGGAGCCAGGAGTCATCTCTAACTTCTTCACTTCTGACAGAACCTCCCATAAGCACCTCCCACTGTGTGAACCGAAGTACTTGGTTAGGAATGCTCAGGAGAAATAGGACACACAAGGGCCTAAGCCTGTAGTTTCAGGGCATTAGGCCTGGAGAGATGGCAGGCGGACAAGAAGCTCTAGTCACTTCTTCCCACATATTCTCAGAATACCTATTTTGTTTGAAAATAGACTCAGGCAAAGGGAGGGGAAACTAACATTTATTGAGTGCCTATTGTTTTATGTCTGGCCTTGTGCAAGGAGTTGTCATCTTTAATATGTCCCTTAATCCTCACACCAACCCTGTGAGGTAGGTATTACCCTCATTTTTGTCAGATGAGGACTCTGAGGCTCAGAAAGGTTAGGTAGTTTGTCCAAGGTCATACCAACTGTAACTGAGAGCTGGGACTGAAGAATGAGTGTGAGACTCAAAACTCCCCTGGCTCCCTCCTTGACACATCTGAGGAGGAAGGAGGGAGTAAAAGCAGCAGTTTTACACTTCCTACCCTGAGAACCAGGAGGAGTGCGTATTTTCCACAAACTCCCTCACCTCCCCCCAACCTGCGAAGGGTGCAATCAACTGACAAGACATAAATATAAAAATAAATACAGGGGCAAGTCCCCCAGCATCGAGAAGGTGCAGCACCCATGCTGTGGGAAGGTCACTGTGCACTCACAGCTGCGGTGGGAGCGCACCCGTGTTCTGTGGGGGGAGCTGAAACAACGGCTGCTGAGGGCTGGAGCAGGTGGGCTAAACAGGCCCCTTCAGGGTTGTGTAGACTCGAGGACCAGATGTCCGAGCAAGCAGCAGCTGGGGGCAACAGTCACCACCATCCTCCCTCTGCTCATTTTACCGATGTTTGTGATCCAAGAGGGATTCAAAGTCAGGGGAACAAACGAGTTTGTGCTTCACGTGTCCCAGGACTGTCATCTCACCTGTCCTACTGTCGCCAAGACCCACGGACACCAGCTCCTGCCAAATGAAAGAGAATGCGGTGAGAACCAAAACCCCACTCCGTGACCCAGTCCGATGACTCTGATGTAACTGCACCAACTCCTTAACACTCCTCACCCTCTTTTGAAGTCTTCATCTGACCCCCTGGGCTCTCACCTGCAGGAAAGAGCAGGTGGTTCCCATGGTCACATCCAACGTCACCTTGCCCAGGAGGAGCTGCACCTTTCCCGATTTGCGGATGAGCAGCTTGCCAACCTGACCCTCGGTCAGGTCAGCCAGGGTGCACGCGTTCTCTGCCAGCCTGGCTTCCTATGAAGAGAATCAGGGGATGAAAACTTGGTAAGGAATTGCTTCCTTTGCCTTCACAAATGAACCTCTCCAAAGGCAGGCGCCAACAGCAAAGGAGGGAATAAGCTCCCCAAAGAACCTTTTCCTAATAACAAAACCCACAGTAAGAGACAAGTTGACAAAAATCGAGTAACAGCTGAAACTAGATGGTACTTGAGTCTCGTTTATATTCTCTTCCATACATTCAAAAATTTTCAAAAATTCTGCAAAGTCAACATACACATCTAACTAGGGTTGAAGTGCAAAGCCCAGAACAAGAACAAGCGTAGACTAGCAGTAGTGGGTAAAAAGAACAGGCGCGTTATTGCTTGCCTTTCGGCTCGGACAGCGTACCCCCACAGCTTGCAGTTCCCTGCCTGGGCCCCAGAACTCTGTTTCCAACATACCCGATCTTTCTCCTGCTTTATAACCACCATCTGTCCATCCTCGCTCTGCACCTCTGTCTTGATAGGCTTGATGTCTTGTGTGGGTGGCTGGCCAGGGAGCGTGTCAGGCAGCTGGAGGAACAGCAACTCTTCCTCCTGGGTGAGGCTCAGCTCTCTGAGCAGCTCCGCTACAGACACATCCTTTGGGAGACCTGGGGTCCTTCTGGCGGCTCTAGGAGGAGCCTTCATCTTGGTCTCTTCCTCCTCATCTCGTGGTTCTTCTTTCACTGCCCAGAGGGGGATACAAATGGAAGGGTTGTCAACAAGCCACCACCCTCTATGCCACATCATGAACCCACCCCTTCATTCCCATCCGCTCTGCCAGGAACCTGGATGTTGGTTAGGGAAAAAGGACTGAGGAACTGTACATCTTATGTAAGAAAGATGATCTGAGGCTCAGTCCACCATCCATGCCAGGTCTGGAACCCTCTTGAGAATGGAAATGTACCACCTTGTTAAGCTCATGTGTTTTACAGCTGGAATGGCGAAGGCCTGATTCTCAGTAGCAGCCTGACAGGCTTATTCCTTAGGGGCAGGGGAGCCACAGAAAAGGGGTGAGATGGAATAATGAGAGTACCTTTCACAGCAGGCACGTCCACCTCCATGTCCTCCTCCTTAGGCATAGTCAACCAAGGCTTAACATCTGGCTCTTCATTGTCCTCCTTAAAAAGCCATCCCGAGTGAGCCAGCGGTAGCTGCACAGGCATGTTTCGAGTATCATTCTTCAGTCCAGGGTCATCGATGAACTGCCAAAAAGTGGGGGAGAGTAGTGCTCGCATGGCCTGGCTGACACACAGCTAGCTTAGCCCTTTTCTAACAGAAGACTCATGCTCAGCTCACCGGACTCCAGGGCATCACAGAGCTCTTCTTCCCCTGACCCTGGCTCCCCAGAAGCCCTTTTCCAAAGCCACAAAGCTCCCCTGAGCTACCTACGTCATCCTTCTCCAGCATTCGGAGGATCTGTTTTGTTTCTTCATCTGTCTCCCTCTTCTCTTTTTTGATGTTGATGATATGAGAGGGCCCCATGTCCGACATATCCACGGTCTTATCCCAGTTCCCTGTGGGAAATCACCCAAACACAAGGGTGAGGAAGAAATGGGGAGGCAGGGGAGGCCCATGGACCTGCTCAGACAGCCTGAACTGAAATGCAGCAACTCCTTCCTCCCGGAGCCCCCATAGCCTTGTACCCTTTTTCTTCATCATTTCAGCAGGGCCCTGCTCAAAGATGGAGTGAGACTGAATCACTTCTGGGCGACCCCGGCCCCGTCCATGGCCCTCTCTCTGGCGGTCTCTATCCCTGTCACGCTTCTCCTTCTTGATGGTTACTTCTTCCTTGGGCCTGGAAAAGAGAATGGATTAAGGGTACCCACTCACTCTGCCTCATAGAATTGGTCTCATTCTCCCCACCACTTCACTTCACTCCACCTGAGTAGAGTTTATGAACCAATAACTGTATCATGAGAAGAGAACCCTGCCCTAAACTGAAACCTTTCTCTTTCCTTGGTTAGGCAGTCTTTATAAGTTTGTTTTACTTTACCTTCCTGTGTGAGAATATCTATAAGAACTATAACCCAAAAGTTGAATTGTACAGACTGTTCAAAGATAAAGATTTCTTTTATATATTGACTGAAAGAATTTTAGGGAAAATATGTCTTAAACTAGAGGCTCTCACCTCTGGCTATAAAAGAGAATCATTCCATTTCATTGCAAACAAGTTAAATCACAATTTCTAGGGGTGGACACTCACACATCAGTATTTTTAAAAAGAGCTTGCACACTGGAATAAGCTAGGAACCCATGTTGAAAATTACTAGTGAGAAGAATTAAAAACACGAATCTAAATTTCTTAGTTATATACCTAGTTATTTCCCCCAAAGCCCCAAATTCAGAGCAAGTAAATAAGGGGCAGGGCATGTATTCAGAAGGCCTAGCAACTTACTCTTCCTTGATCTTCCGACTGATGATATTTGGGGTGAAGGTTTTCTGAAAGTAAAATATAGAAGTCACTACTTTCACAAGTTCTCATACCAAACTACAGAGGAAAATAACACCCCCCAAAGGGCATATTCTATGAATCAAGAGCACCATGGCTCTTCTTTTGCACTACACTGCTGGTAAAGATCTATTGAGATACATGTATGCTTGGGAAGGAGGACTGCCTGGCTGTGGTGGCAGAGAACAGCACCAAGACAACTCCACCTAGCAGTCTCAGTTTCTGCTTTTAGAACTTCTAAAAGCAAAGGGACTTATCTAACCTCACTTCTCAACTTTAGACTGCTATAGATACCAGTGGGCATTGTGGAGAAAGGGCTCTGGCAGCAAGGCTCAAGGACCTGCCTGTACTTACAAATACAAGATAGGGTTAAGAGACCACTGGCATTTCCCAACGCAAAGTGTCTTTAAAAACCGGCTGCTTTAAGGTGTCATTGCTCCTCCTTCCCTCCCCCTTCCAGGGTTGCTCTTTATTTCTACAGTTAGGCAAGTAATAGGAAAAGTCTAAACAGCCTCCAATGCAAAGTCTCAGGTACGTTAGACTCTAGATCGGAAATTTGCACACTAGGATGTGAATTGACAACTCTCTCAAACTACAGGCAAAAGTCTATGCCTGCCTGTGTGGCTTTCATGGATTTCTTAGAGGTGTCCAAAACACACAGTTAACAAACATTACTCAAGTTGCTTTTGACCATCTTGTCTGTCCTCAGCCACCTCTGAACACCATCTCAACATCTTGTACCAGTCCCGAAACCTGAAGGCAGAATAGGTTCCCCAGAATTCGTAGGCCAAATCTGGGTACAACATTCAGGAGCCCCGTTAGGCCCGACACGGGGTATGCCCTGCATGAACACTAACTGAACCCCAGAGGCCTTCAAAGTAGCTTTAGAAAGGTGCCGTGGGGGGTACCTTTTTGACTCCCCCGAGGGTGAGATCCCTGGAGCGGATGGAGGGAAGGCGGCCCGGGGTGAGTGGAGGCGCCGGCCGCCGCCCGATAAGCCCCCGAGTCCCAGAGAGGAGGGGTCGGGGTCCTCCCGGAGTGCTGGGCTCGCCCGCGGCGTTTCCTTCCGACATGTTGCCTGGGAGGGGAGGGGGTGGAAAGCGACGAATTCACTGCCTGGACCAACACGCGGATCCTGGGCGGAACCCCACTCACGTGGCCTCCCGCACCCCAGTCAGGGCGTCCCTCCCGCGGCGTCCAGCTCCTCCCCATCCCACGTGGCGAGACTCCCCCGGCCTCCCGAGCTGGAGCTTTTGGCTCGCCCTCTTCCCAGGCAACCCGCCAGGAACATGGCCGGGACGCACCCCAGCGCACCCGGGCTGCGGCTCCACACCACGCGCGCCGCGACTTCACTTGCGACGCCGCCCGCAGCCCTCCCTGGGTCTCGGCACCCGGCGGAAGTCTGCGTGGCAGAGCCCCGGCGCCGCCATGTTGTCCCGGGCGGAAGTGAGGTCGGTGGGCGGGGCCCGGCCACAGTATTTATTCGGCGGCGCCTTGCTCCCCTCCGCCTTCTCTTCCCGGTTCTTCCCGGAGTCGGGAAAAGCTGGGTTGAGAGGGCGAAAAAGGAAGAGGAGTCTGGTTAGGTTGCTCCGCGATATAGTTCTCGAGGGTCTTGGTCCCAGGTTGTAGATGGAGGCGCTCAGCCCAGCCCAGGTCTGGGACCTTGGCAGCCTCCATGGCACAACGTGGGGAGTCGCCGTGCCGAGCCCCTGGGAGCGGTGGGGTCGTGGATCGGGGTGGGGGGAAGGACTCAGGTCATCGAAGCGGGATCCTCACTTAGCCTGGGTGCCCTAGATCAGGTCGACTCGCGGCTGCAGGAGTCGATGATGACCTTGGAGTGGTCACTGCACTTCCCGGCAGCACTCTCACTCGCCCTAGAGTCCTTTCCTTGGACTCCTGGTGGGATTGGGCTGCTAGAGCAGCTACGGTGGTCAGGTGGTCGAGCCTGATGCCTAGTGGCACCCACCTAGGGCTCAGATTGCGGGCCCTTTGTGAGTTCTTAGTCCAAGCCTGGAACCTGAGAAAAATGAAGTTTGCTCTACTGGGAGGAATGAATTCAAAGAACTTACTGTGACACCAACGCTTGTAATTTTATCATTAAAAATGTGTTTTACAGTTTACCCCCTTTTCAACCCCAAGGCCTGTAAAAACTATGTAATCATTACGGAAAGTTTGAGGGAAGGAAAACATTCCTGTTGGAATATCGTACTGTCATTACAATCTTTGCAATATATTCCAGCCTCCTTCATAGAGCTGATATATTGTACTACAATTTTTGTCTTCAAATACATTTTTTGTTCTTGCTTCAACACACAACTGCTTAAATCTTAGGAGGCTATATCATGATTTGTTTGTTTTCTTGTTTGCACATTTAGATTGTTTTCCCTTCTGTAAAGAACGCTATCGTGCATTTAACATTTCTTTCTTTTGGATTATATCCCTTGTACCGATGATCACACTTGGAGAAATGGCCCAAGTAAGATGTACTTTTTGTAGTAAAAGATTTTTGAGGTTATTGTAGTTAAAAGAAATAATGCAGAGATCCTCTTTTTAGGAGTAGTATCTTGCAGAACTCCTACAATATAACCTGAATATTGACTTTGAGCGGCAATTTACAAGACATTTCTATCAGCAAGATTTTCTAGTTGCCCTTTTATAACCACATCCCCTTTTCCTCCCACTTAACCCCCACCCAACCATTTAATCTGTTCTCCATTTCCACAGTTTTGTGATTTCAAAAGTGGAAATCATTAAAAAAATGTGATTATACAATATGTGATTTCTTGGCATTGCTTTTTTCCCACTTAGGATAATTTTCTAGAGGTTATACAAATTGTTGTGTATATCAATAGTTCATTTCTCTTTATTGTTCAATATCCATGGCTTATTTAACCATTCATTCTTTGGAGGATATCTGGGTTGTTTCCACGTGTTGTTGTTGTTGTTTGCTAGTAAGAATGAAGCTGCTATGAACATACATGCACCGGTTTTCAAATGAACACAGTTTTCATTCCTCTGGAGTCTATGTCCATGAGTGCAGTTGCTAGGTTGAATGGTACTGTAGGTTTAATTTTAGAAGAAACTGCTAAATTGTTTCCCTCAGTGGCTGTGCCATCTTAAACATGCATAGTTTGTGGTTCTTCATCTACATTGCTAAATTGCTTTCAAAAAGAGTTGTGCTAATATGTATCCCCACTAAAATATATATATGTAAATATATGTGTGTGTGTGTGTATATATATGTGTATATATATATATATGCACTATATATATAAATGTTGCCATGTTCAGTTGAATCTTGGCTCTTAAATTTTAAACTTTTTGCCAATTTAGTAATATGCTAATAATAAATGCTATAATAGTAATAATATTATGTCAATATTTTTTGTTATGATTTCAGTCTCTGGGCTTTAAGATACACCAGGCTTTTGTTTTGTTTCTACAAAGATAATTATTCATTTCAGAAGGTTGGGAAAATTTCAAAGAACAGCCAAAAGAATATTAAAGTCATTATTATCCCATTAACTTTTAATAAATTGAAGTTTTTCTATGCATGTAAGTTTTAGATATTTTACATATGGTTTATAATGAGCTTTTTTTGGGCAATATACTACAAGCATTTTTCTGAGTTACACTTCTAAATTGTGATTTTTAATGGCCAAATAGTATTTCACTGTATTGTCTTGTACTATAATTTTAAAAATGTTTTCTTCCTGTCATGTTTATTAGATTGCCATAGCATTTTTCATCCCAAAAGAACAAGAGAAGACTTAAACCTTCTAACTTTAATACTTGGGGAGTTGCTTCCTAACAAAGATTATGATTATTTCACTTTAAGAATACTCCTCAGCTGGATGTGGAGAAAAAGGAACTCTCCTGCACTGCTGGTGGGAATGCAAACTAGTACAACCACTATGGAAAACTGTGTGGAGGTTCCTCAAACTGCTAAACATGGAGCTTCCCTACGACCCAGCAATCCCACTCCTAGGTATCTACCCAAAAGACACAAAA